ACGGCACATAACAACAACATATTAAAAAATGCCAACGTGACATAAATGCATAATTTAATAAGCATGGCTGTTAAAAGCATCAATGCAATAAAGTGTCCCTTAGCTTCAAAATTTAGTCAAGGTATTACTGTTGGAATTGTTATAAAATGTATGTAGAGAAACTTGGGAGGGACTGGAGTGCATTATGCTAAGTGAACACAGTCCCATAAAGACAAATACTGTATAAGACCATTATTGTAGAAATAGAAAGTTAACTAGTAAAACGGGTATGAGGATCCAAGGGGGGGAGGGTAGAAGCAGAGGGTGGGCAGGGAGGATAATCACAAGGTTCCACAACCTTATGGGTAGAGGAAGGAGTGGGTAAAAGAAATGGGAATCACCTGGTGTGAAAAACAATGTATACCAACTTTGTAAGCAAACCAATATGATGTTGTTATGTGTCGTCGAGTCGCTTGCCACTCATAGCGACCCTGTGTACAAAAGCCCTAAACGCTGCTCTATCTTGTGCCAACCTCGATGTCTCCGACATGCTCATTCCCACCACCCTAATCATAGAATCGATCCATCTCAGGTTCCTTTGAGATAGAGATAGAGATAGAGACAGAGATAGAGAGATAGAGATAGAGATAGAGAGATAGAGATAGAGATAGAGATAGAGAAGGCAGTTAGCAGTCGGATAGGTTATGTACTACACTCCCAGGCTTGAGATACTGAAGGCTGTTAGTTTAACTTTGGCTAAGAGTCTGCTTTTTACATTTTTATATCTACTTTTTCATTCTTCCTTTTCAGTATTAATTACCAGCTGCTCTCAGTTGCAAATAGATCCTCCCCATTTGTGTTCTAATTTATTAAAGCAAAAAACCCAAAAACTCATTGTGGTCAAGTCCTCTGACCAGTGAGAGCAGTGTGGTGAAGTTGGATGCCTGTAGAGCTTCCAAAGCTCTATTATCTGGCACGTTTCTCCTAAGGAGCAGCTGGTGGGTTTGAACAACAGACTTTTCAGTTAGCAATTGAATGCTCAACCACTGCATTATCAGGACATCTTCTGATCTGCTAGAGACTCATTAATTCACTCATTACTGTTGATTCAGAAATTATTCATAGCTGACTCTCCATTGGATTTCTGAAGCAGCAAATCGCACGGGAAGACTCCGCCTTGCCCTCTCTCCCTCTCCCTCCCTCCTTTTCTCTTTCTCTCTGTCTCTCACTGTGTGTATCTCTGTGCATGATTTGGGAGTTGTCAGTTGTAACAGTTGGAGAATCATTTTCTTCTACATTAATGTGTATTAATTCAGTAGACTTTTATTGGGCTAACTAGGATTAGGCATATATGCCCTTGTAAAATAAATGCATGATAATTTAGCAGTTAAACAGATAAGGTTCTGGAAAAATATATGATAAAATGTTATTTTTAATAGTGTTACCATTTATAATTCAGTGACATTAGTTACATCCCTAACGTGCCACTATCGCCACTGCTATCTCAAGAGAAAGACAAGCAGTCTCCTCCCATACTATTTACAGCCTCTGAAAACTCACTGCAGGGTCAGCTATGAGTAAGTTCTGACTCAACAGCACATCATCAGCAACACAACATCACCACCACTATCTGGTTCCAAAACTTTTATCATTTGAGGCATGAATTCTGGATTAAATCCATTGGGCATTAATGCTGCTTAGCTTTCCCCTGGGGAAGATCTAGTATGAATCCAGTTTGAGACAAATACATTATTTTTTTCAGCTGAAATTTTCTAGCATATATTCTTTTTGGAGATGTTTTGCAATAGAGTACCTTAAGATGCTAAAAACAGTATAAAGTTTCTTTCATTAGACCAAATAAATTTACCTTTTAGGTTTTTCTAAAATCCTTTGACATTTGATATCATAATCACATCTTGGGTACCAGTAGAATTTTACTGTTTGAGGACAAAGTGAGATATTAAAAGACAACATAAAACATTGCTCTGTGTTGTAAAATAGTTCATACATGTTGATATTCATTTTTGAGTGCTTGGTTAACCTATTGTCGACTCCAACTCATTGCAACCCTGTGTGGTCAGAGCAGAACTGTACTCTGTAGGGTTTTCATGGCTTATTTTTTGGGTCAGCAAGCCTTTCTTCTGCATAGACTTGAATCTTCAACCTCTCAGCAGCCAGGTGCATTAACCAGGAACTCCAATGGTAACATGTTAATAATACACTCTTTGTTTAGTGCATTGTGACTAGTCTCAAATTCTTATCTTCTAAATATAGATTCTAAGTGGTTACTTTAGCTAAAAACTTAACTCTTATACAAGAATGAAATAGGAAAAGCATGAATTCTAGTTACCTTTAGAGTCAGAGTTAAGAGCACAGAATTTGAAGTTAAACTGCCTGGCATGAGTGGCCACATAACTTGAGCAGTCGTTGCAAAGGGAAATGCTTGTTATAAAAGAATTAGATTTCCATGACAGCAACACAGAGAATTAAACTGAGGGCAGGCCCCTGTGCAGGTGTACAGAAGGCACACCCATGAAGCTGGTGCTTATTGGCTCTGAAACCTTGAGGAAGTTCCTGTACAAGTTCCTCATCTGTAAAACAGGGATAAAAATGCTACACCCTTCAGTACGTTTTTAATCATTAATTCAAATGCTAGCCAGTATTATTTACTTTTAGGATCATTTATGGACTATATGGTTAGCAAAACTATTAATAGTTTATAGTACAAAAACTTACTAGCTGCGGGAGCTCTGGTGGCCTAGTGGCAAGAAGCTATACTGCAGTCCCAGAGGTGCCCCATTTGAATCCACCAGATGCTCTGCTGGAGAAGGAGGGACAGTCTCCTCCTGTACCAGTCAAATCCTGTTTGACAGTACATACACACAATATAATAACATTTAAAAAACAAACAAACAGACAAAAAAAAAATACAAAACAAAATCCTGACGAGCTGAAGGCTTTAGGATGATAATTCTCCTGTGATAAGAAGTGATAATTCACCTTTCTTGCTTTCCTGAAAATTATTAACTTTGCTTGTTTTTCAGGCTACCTTTTGTTCCCCCCCTTTTGTTAATGTTCATTTAAATTCTCATTTGAATTTACTTGAAGCTTTGTCCTTATAACTATATGACAAATAACATGAGCATAAAAACGTTTACATAGTATGTTTCCTTGAGGACCTTAATTTTTTATTTTTTTTTTTGTTCTTCCTGGCTTCTGCATTTGAGGTACACATTCTCCTGTTGAAGTTACTTGTATACCTGAAAAACAACATCTATGAGATGATATTTTATTAAAAAACATCAAGGGCCCAATTACCACAGAGAAACTTTAAATTGCAAGTACTAAAATTATCCTTTCTTCTTTTCTTAAAACCATTTATTTTGTTATAATTAAGCATTTTATATGCCATCGATTCGGAACTGACCCATAGCTGACCCTCCAGTGAGCTTTCAGAGGCAGTAATTACACAGGAAGAGATTGCCCATCCTTCTCCTGTAGAGCAGCTCGTGGATTTGAACCACCTGCCTATGGGATTGCAGTGCAAAGTCTTACCACTAAGGCCACCAGAGCTTCTAGAATTAACCTTTTTTAAAAATTTGTTTTGATCCACCAGATGCTCTCCTGGAGGAGGAACAATCTCCTCCTGTACCAGTCAAATCCGATTTGACTGTACACACACAAAAAATAATAAAATAAAAAAAATTTTTTAAAAATCTGTTTTGAATGGACTGGTGTGAATAATTATTTTAATCACAGTTTATTTCTTTCTATTAACTCTTAAAACTAGGTGTAGTAATTTTTATAGAACAACTTGCCAAAAGAACAAAAAGATCTTTCATAGACGTGCAGACAGGATGTTCCTAGAGACAAGAATTAGAAGACTGTGTCACATACTTTGAGCATGTTATCAGAGGGCCAATGCTTGGAAGGAAACACCAGGTTTGGCAAAAGTAGAGGTCAGAGGAGGAGTGCCCACGGGAGATGGGTTGACACAGTAACTACAACAATGTTTAAGTGCCCTGAGATTGTGAGGATGGGACAGGATTTTGATTTGTTGTGCACAATTTTGCAGTGCACTGGAGTGGACTCAGTAACAACATAGCAAACATATACAACGCTCCTTTTACTGTAGCATTTCTTACATAGTTACATTAGGTTATTGAGAAGTTCAGATTTACCCATAAGAATATTATTAGTTATGAAATAGGTAACATCTGGTGTTAAAATGGTGGAAAATTGTTGTATGATTGTCTTCATTCTATCCTGTATTGTGTCCTTGTTTTATGGTGGTGGTGGTTATATGCTGTTGAATTGGAACTGACTTCTTGCCGACTCTCCAGTGGGTTTTCAGAGACTTTAAATTGCACGAGAAGAGATTGCCCATCTTTCTACTGAGGAACAGCTGGTGGACAAGTCCTTACCCACTCAGCCATCAGAGCTCCCTGTTGTATGGAGTTACGTCATTATAGAGTCCTATCCCGTGTCATCCTTGTCATCTCTGACACACTTGAGCCGATTGCTGCAGTCACTGTGTCAAACCATCTTGTTGATTTTCTCTCTGGCTGACTCCACCTTTCTAAGGAATTGGACTTTTGCAATTCATAGCATTTTTGTTGGTCAGCTTTTGGCAGTCAGTTCTTCAGCAGGCCTTTTCCCCCCTACTCTGTCGTAAGTGTAGAAGCCCAACTGAAACCTGTTGAGCATCACATCAACACACAAACCTCAAATGAAAGATAGGTGGCGGCTCCACAAATGGGCAGTAGTGTTAAGAACTGAAGGCTGAAATCACCACTGGCCTCAACCAACAAGTAGCAACCCACAGGGCAATGTATTTTAAGAGACATACTTGAAAACTGACTCTTAAGCTAACACTTAACATCTTGTCTTAAAAGATGTACTTTTTAAAAAAATCTGGCTGCATTCATTTATATCAAGAAACTTTGTTGGCAATCATAATGTTTTCTTCTACTAAAGAAAACATCTTAACCTTTTTCCCCCCCCCCAGAACTATAGCAAAAATGAAACCTGATGAAACTCCTCTGTTTGACCCAGCTCTCCTCAAAGAAGTGGACTGGAGCCAGAATACAGCTACATTTTCTCCAGCCATCTCTCCCACACATCCTGGAGAAGGCTTGGTTTTGAGACCTCTTTGTACTGCTGATTTAAACAGAGGTAAGGATTCCCCTAGTTAGAATCAACCTTCTGTTTTCTCCAAAGCATTTTGATGGTGCTGTTAACTTTTTTTTTTTCCCCCCAAAACCCCACATTTAACTCTTTAAGTATTTTCACAGTTTGAAAAGTTTTAAACCCATTGTCTTGGAGTCAATTCCAACTCATGTGTCAGAGTAGAACTGAGTTTCAGAGGGTACCCTCTGTATCTATCATTCTTGATTGTTAGATGTCATTGAGTCGAATGTGACTGTATGAACAAAAGATCTGAACCTAGTCCTGTCCTGGACCATCCTCGCACCTCCTAACACACAAGAGCCCATTGCCCAGTCAATTGTCAATCCACCTGGTTGAAGGTCTTCCTCTCCTTCGCTGACCCTTCCCCCTTCCCAATATCATGTTCCTCTCCAAGGACTTGCACCTCCAAGCAATATGTCCAAAGTATGTGAGGTGAAGTCTCATCATTCTTGCCTCCAAAGAGCACTCCAGCTACACCTTCTCCAAGACATATCCATTTTCTTGGCCATCCATTAGATGCTCAATGCTTTTCTCCAACACCACAGCTCAGTGGCATCAGTTCTTTTTCTGTCATCATTATTCATTGTCCAGGTCTTGGAAAGATGATGGCCTGAATCCTCAAACTGGCGTTACTACTACTCCAATAATTTGGAAAAGTCCCTAAGTGCAGATTTTCCCATTGCAATGTGTCTCCTTTTTTCCTGAGTGCTGGTACCGAGGGTGTTACTTGTGGATCTGAGCAAGATGAAGGTGTTGACAGTTTCAGTCTCCTCTCTATCCATCATGACACTGCCTATTGATCCAGTGGTAAGAATCTTTGTTTTCTTAAAATTGAAACACAATACAAGCTGAAGGCTGCATTCCTTGATCTTCTGCAACAAGTGCTTCAAATCCTCCTCATTTTCAGCAAGTAAGGTTGTGTCATCTGCATAATGCAGCTTATTGATGAGTCTCCCTCCAATTCCAATGCCATATTCCTCTTCATAGAGTCCAGCTTCTAGGATAATTTGCTCAGCATATAGATTGAACAGGTATGGAGATAAAATACATTCCTGACGCACTCTGTTCCCAATTCCAACATTTCTCAAGTTGAAAAATCTGAAAAAACAATGCAAAGGGCAATATATTAAATGACCCAGAACACACCAGAAGATCAAGAGAATACACAGGGTCACTGTACCAAAAAGAATTGACACTGAAACATTTCAGAAGTACTAGATGAACGGGAGCCAGTGATAATGAAAGAGTAACTGGAGGCTGCATTGAAGGCATTGGAAAAAAAATAAGGCCCCAGGAATCGATTGGATACCAATTAACTTGTTTCAATCACCAGATGCCATTTTGAATGCACTCACCAGTTTATGCCAGGAAATTTGGACGATGGCTTTCTAGCCAACAGAAAAGGTCCATATTTTTTCTTATTCCCAAGAAGGCTGATCCAACTGAATGTGGAAATTATGGAACAATATCATTGATATCACATGCAAGCAACATACTGCTGAAGATCATTCAAAAATGGCTCGAACAGTACATAGATATAGAATTGTCAGAAGTTCAGGTGGGATTTAGAAGATGCCATGGCACCATTGCTGATGACAGATGGATCCTGGTATCATATTTAAGATCAAATCTTATTGTGAGATATCTCAAGTGATTTAAGCACAACAGAGCCTCTCCTAAGAAGCCAAATGGATTTCTCATAAACAATCAATGGAACTATATTGCATTAAATTACACACAGGGAAAAAAAAATCTGGAAAAAAGTAGGGGAGGGAGAGTCAGATGGAAACAGCTAGCTTTGTATAAGTTTCAGAGGGTTTTATCTACATGTTGGGTCATAGTATATTTAACCTCTAAAGTCTCTAAAATAATGGTTTTTCTCCCAGACTTTTTTCATATGAAATCTGAAAAGATGATGTAGGTCAAATTCCATTATTGAGTGTATAGAAGTTACAATTCTCAAAATTCTAAAATATTCTA